GCTTGTTTTCACATTTTCCTAACCTTCTGATTGAAAACCAGGCAGCAGAGAGCTGATGGCCCCACAGTTAACGGGGGGAAGGTGGGGAGACGCTCAGGCTGCAGTGCCTTTGCATTTCAAAAAGGAAATTGGAAGAAACACAGAGTGCCAAAAACTCAGGGAATTTTGATCATTATCTCCAGTAGAAGGTTACAAAGCAAAAAAGAGCACAAAGGTAACCAGTTTTCCTGGAGATGGACTGATAACATACCTCTCACAGGGGACTGGAAGAGCATACTCCTGCAGAGCTTCCAAAGCACTGGGAGATCCAGCACTTACCTAGGTACAGGTGGGAAATACAAGCCTCAATACACAGAGCAGAAGGCTAACAGACACCGAATAATTTTGACAGCTGATTGAATTAAATATTTTTATAGAGTGCAGAAAATTTACCCAAGTGCCTTCCATTTTTCACTTAAGAAGTGAATTTCACTTAAGAAGTGAAAAATCCTTGAAAAAGATCTCTTGGCTTTTTTCAGCCATTTGGCTTAGAAGCATTGTGTCCTGCATCAGGAGCAGATACTCGAGTAGGTCTGTAGCAGGGATACACCAGGCAAACACAGCTAAGGCAAAGCTACTCTGGAGCATGAGAAACAACAGCTGCCTGGTTAAGAAAAGAAGATCCAAATTAGTTGAGTCTCCCTCTTTCAAAGTCAGCACATTTTCCACTTCTCAAGTGCTGGGTTCCCTTCCAACTGTGGAACTTCTAGAGTTGGAAAAGATATACTAGACAAAAGGCAAGCTTGAAATATTTTTAGCCAATTTTCTTTTCAGGTCATTGAGCCAAGATTTTAACCAGAAAAAACAGACTCCTTACACATACCCTAAGTCAGGACACATTTCTCTTCTCTTCTGTCATGTGTGGATCTCGGGGAAAAAAAATGCAGAGGACTATTCAGTGACTGTGGTCAGTGGAAGAAGCCTCTGAGGTCCTTCAGTGAGACACTGGGACACATAGAAATGTTGAATGATCTTCCTTGACCCCAGGTGACATAAAGTAACTATTTTTTCCTCTTCCTTCCATCTGTTTTCATCTTCATTCATATCTGCCTCTCATTCCTCTGCTTGTTTTATGGCAACTCAAGAAAGATTTCTCTCCTTTCTCTCTTCCTTCCATCTGCTGAAGTCACCCATATCTAAACTCTTCTAAAAATTTTAGAGCTAAAAAATACTTAGTTCTAGCCCTCACCAATTGTACATTACACATCTCCTCATGCAACATGACTCAGCCTTGTCTAGTGAGACAGTTCCTACGCTCACAGTCTTCTACTAGCTACTTACACACCCTCAATAAATCCTTAAGCACTACCATAATTACACTACTACCACAGTCACCACACCATGAGCTTTCACTTGAGCTCTCTGTTCATTCAGATGGACTCGATGCTTTAGGGCAAGATGACCACTCAGGTATAGGTGAGATATTATTTCTTTTAAAATATAGTTTAAAACACAAAACAGACACATAATCTGAACAAAGAGACTTTAATATCAGGACTAAAAATTTTAACTTATAGATAACCGTTTTGTAACTTCAGTGAAAAACTCCGAATATACTTATTATTCATCATGCATGGAAAACAAACTAACAACAACCAAAAAAAAAAAAGAGAGAAAAAAGGCAGTTTCCACAATTTGACCCAAATTACTTAATCCTTTGACAGGTCTAGGTCTTTATAGCTCTTCTTAGTCAAAGGCTTCAGAATATTTATGATATAATTACACATCCAGACACTGCAATTGAAAACAGATAAACATCCAGCAGAAAATGCACCTCAATGAAATCTGAGACACATCCTATAACTGTATCATTCAAAAAAACAAAATTTGCTATAAATCACTGCTGGCCAAGGCTGGATTAGTGTCAAACTTCACCTTAGGAAGTTTTGGTTTCCCCTGTATTAGTTTTTTGGCCAGGTGTGGACTGCATGCTTAACAGAAACAAGATCACACACAGGGTTGGATGCCTTTTTATATATAAATAGAGAAGAAAATTAAATACAAGTCTGAATTAGGTGGAGAAGTCACTGCAATGCAGAAGAGTATATTTATTTACAGGCTAATAAAAATATATGATATTCAGCTTAACTAGATGTATACATTTTTTGCAAAATGTTCTATCTGCTACAGAAATGAGAGTAATCCATGATGCAATTCTGTTCGGACAGATACAATAAATACCTGAAATTTGTTTGATACAACTGTGAGTTAACATGTATTGAAAGGGATACAGACCCTCTTCACTGCCAAGGACACACTTCTACAAAGGGCACACTGCATACAGCCTTTGATCAGAGCTAAATTTAGTGCCATAAAGCACTTTCCTTATCTTACATGCTTTTAATTAACATTGGTCCCAGATGCCAAACACCTTTAGCTTAAAATACAATTGTCTCACTGAAGATTTCAATAGGCAAGGAATTAGCTACTAAAAAAAAAAAAATCAGAAAATTATCTTTAGAATATTATTTTATTTTTTAAGTAAAAATATATATACACAAGCAAGTAAACTGGTTTACATTTGAAAAAATAAAAATGAAGTCTGAACATGGACTTTCCTCAGAAACTCTTCCAAGTCTAACTTATTCAACCTCTGGGAATCAGCAGCACTGAGCCTTCCAGTTACTGACAAAGGGAAGATTATACATTTGTCTGTTGAATCTGGAAATCTCAACTTGCAAAACTTTTCAGTCTAAATATTAATCTCTAAGCATCTCAGCATGATTACAAATAAGCAGTATGTTAAATCAGCTGGTAGGAAGTACGGAGTACATGGAGACAGGCTGTAGTGTCTGAGCAAAATCCTCCCATTCAGGGCTTTCTAAGCAAACATTATACAAACTGCCAGGAAGGAAATGTGGCAATCATTTACTGCTACCTGGTTTGTCTATTCCTAGTCATTTTCCTCAGCAATTGTTCCTTCTGTTGATTTCATATACAGCTAAAAATAGACAAGGTCAGAGCAGAGAAAACCTCCAGCAGGTAAGAGAGCACAGTATCCTGCAAAACTGGTGGACAAGGAACATTAGGAAAATAACTTTAGAAACACTCTCTCACTTCAGGCTAAAACTGAGCAAATGCATTAAACAGAAAATAAGGTGTGCCAAGAAGTAAGGAAGAACAAGTAAGTTAAAATTTTCACCTTTCCCTCAAATAAAGAGAAACTGTACAGGCAAATTAAATGCCTTTTTAAAAAGTACAAGACTAGTTGGACAAGTCGTAATTTCTTAGGACTGTAGTAAGATTTCATACAGCAATGATTTTCATAGAAAGATGATCACTACTTGGCTTTGAGCTTTCCTTCCTGATGGAGAGGACATTGAGTGTTCCAGGCCACAGACAGTTTTAGAGTGCACTCTGCTCAAGTAACTGTGGGAAAAACAGAAATCTGGATGCAAAGTTCTGGCAGTGGATTCATCTGCTAACACACAGCCAACGTGTCCTCAAGTTTCAGAAGCTTCAGAAAAAGAAACATGCCTGGGGACCTGTTTCTTCTTCACACAGCTTTATTTTTAAATACTAGTTTCTGTTCAGTGAAAACTGTACAGCCTTGACTATTTTAAAAATCTGCAACAGTATGCTGTATGACAAAGACTATTATAAAAAATGAACCAAATAATGTCATTCCACTGAGCGAGTGGAATTCATGCGCACGCACACACACACAAACCCATCACGGAAATAGCCAAGTTAAGGGATTTATAAATAGCAAAATCTTTGAATAAAGTATATACATTTTTAGGCTTTTTCTATAAACATATATATATATAGTGCTCCTAGGAGAGACAAGTAACTGTGTTCTACATCACAACTTAGAACGTAAGATTAGTTGATGTTACTCTAAAGGCCTTTGAGGTTTTTTCTTAGCTATGTACATCCTACACAGCAACACTTGCAAAGATGCCTTTTCACATTGGTTCCTCTTTCAGTGTACAAAATCTTCTCTTTTCCACATTACAGTTCAACAGCCTGCAGAGCAGTGAACAGGACAGCTGGCACTGCATGAAGGAAGTGCGAGGACAATGTGGAGCTTGTGGAGTGTGCTGTGCTTCACCAACAGCTCTACAAACCGAGCACAAGAAACTGGTCAGGACACCACCCTCAGCATTCCCATCTGCAGCCATGCCGTGGGCCTTTAGATGTACACCAGTAAAAACTATTTTAAGATACACTGCTCTCACAAAGGGAGTAACATTTTGTTGCAACAGTAAGACAATTATAGGTTAATACGACTGCCATAACATAACGCAGATAGGGTCAGACACCGTATGATTCTGAGCACCTCCTGTTAAGTACTGTGCACTCAACTTCCACTTCTTTAAGGATTATTTTAGCATGAAATGAATATGTTCAGTACCCATCAAAAGCACTCAGCAGTTCCTAAATTCAAGATAATGATGACCAACTCAAACCACTCTGCATTAGCAGTAACCATATCCATTCAAAAACAAACACTAATGGATGATGCTCAGAAAAAAAAATACCAAAGGGTCCACATAATTGTGAGTAATTTTTAAACTAATGTCACTTTTAACACCTCACCTCTGTTTAAATACTTTCAGAGCAAGTTTCAAAAGGAACAAATGGTGGTAAATTTAAATCAAAACAACAATTCCAAAAATCTCACTCTCAAAATCATCATGGGCTGAAGTATCATGATTAGCAAATATGCCACTGCCTAGTTGGGTTTTGACAGTCTTGGCTTAAATAATAGCTCTGGTCTTTACTGCTCTGAGGGGGGAAAAAAAGTGTTTTTTTTAAAAGTTACAGCTTAAAAATCCAAAGTACAAAACTCACAGATGCAATGGAACAATTCCCCCTCCCATCCTTCTAGAGTTAAAGCATGTTTCACACCAAAATGAACAGCAGTAGTCCCTTTAAAGCATCACAGGGTCAAAATGAAGTTGGCCACAAATCATTCTACTTCCTTAGGGACGTCGACGGGATTAGAAGTGGAACGTATTGAGGTTATCCTTCCTAGAAATCCCACGCTTTAGTGGGATTGTTCTTCTATTATTAAAAGAAATTAATTTCACATGCTGTGTTAGATAACTACTGTGTGGCACGCAAAAGACAGTTTTCCACATTTAGAATTGCTCACAATGAAGCCCTGAGGTAACCGCCCTTTTTTCAGGCAACAGTAATACAGTTCCTTTTGACATTTAATCTTCCTTTTACAACCTACACTAGTATATGCAACTTTGAGCAGTCAATATTGATTATCAGTTGTTCCCAAAGATGGGATCTGTCCCGGTGATTTTGCTTGTTCTTAGGATAAAGACTCAGCAGAACGGGCTAATTTGGGTGCAGTGTCTTCTAACGAAGCTTCCACTGAATTCCCCAGGTCTCCATTTTCATGTCCATCGATACTTGGCTTCTTATCAAACACTGCAAGTTAAAAAGGAAGATTTATTTAAGGAAGAGAAGCAGCCTTGGGAAGGACAGATCAGTGATCCCTATTTCAGAAACAGCAAAGTGTGATGAAATAACTTCTACAATTAAAGCTAACAGGTTTCACAGAATCACAGAATATTCAGGGCTAGAAGGGACCCACAATGATCATCGAGTCCAACTCGTGGCTCTCCACAGGACATCCCTGACAATCACACCATGTGCCTGAGAACACTGTACAAATGCCTTGAACTCTGTCAGGCTTGGTGCTGCGATCATTGCTCTGGGGAACCTGTTCCAGTGCCCAACTAACCTCTGAGTAAAGAACTTTTTTCTAATAATATCTAACTTAAACCACCCCTGACCAACTTCAGGCCATTCCCTGGGGTCCTGTCCCTGGTCACCAGAGAGAAGAGTTCAGTGCTGCCCCTCCACTTCCCCTCACAAGGAAGTTGTATACAGCAATGAGGTCTCCCCTCAGTCTCCTCTTCTCCAGGCTGAACAGACCAAATGACCTCAGCTGCTCCTCATATTGCTTCCCCTCAAGGCCCTTCACCATCTTTGTTGCCTCCTTTGGATGCTCTCTAATAGCTTAATACCTTTCTTGTACTGTGGTGCCTAAAACTGCACACAGTATTCAAGGAGAGGCTGCACCAGCACAGAGCAGAGCGGGACAAATCTCCTCTCTCCACCAGTTGGCAATGCCTTGTCTGATGCACCCCAGGCCCTCCTGGCTGCCAAGGCAGAATACAGTATGGCAGGAAAACAGGAACTGTTTCTATACCTCTCCGATTTCAAAAACGTATCTGAAGAAGCCAATGACACGAAGTGTTAAGGGGAATTAACTCCTCCTAGACCAGAGTTAGGAAAAGGTAGGAATAAATCTGAATTTCAACCTTTGGGAAAAGATGATCATGAAAAAAAATAAATCCATAAATTAATTCAGTTAATTCAGTTGTATCTAAGTAAACCAGGCCAAACAGTCAGGGACCAACCAAAAGAGCTGACAACCTATTAGTAGGTTAATTGAATTGACAGTAGATTAATTTTACAATGGATATAGAATCAGCATTTTCCAGAAATTGATTTGCATGTTGAGAGTTCAGAATGAAACTGCATACAACATTTTAGAAGGTTTACCTTGTGAGGGTTTCACATCCACATTTGCATCTTTCCTATTAGAGCTCGAATTTGCACCTTCTTCCAATTCATCAAGATACAAACGATAACGGTGTCCACTCTCATCCTCATATTCTACATTTTCATCATCCGAATCAACTTCTGGAGCAACATACACCACTTCAAATTCAATTTCACCCCTCTAAAAGGCAACAAAAATTACAAGTTTACTTACTACTGCACAGCTACCCAATAGGATTACCAAGATGAAGGAGGTTACTAAAACAAATACATTTGACTGTTGTAAACACACCTAAAAGTTGTGTTGAACATTTTGGATAGGTATCTGAATGAAGTTTTTACTGACTAAATTAGTACAGCTCTATAGCTAAGCTTTACCAAAATTACCTGAATTTCCTGGATATATGCCAACACATTTCATACAGTGACTTGGGAATGAGTAAGCTTCCTGATAAACTAAACACACCTGCTAACTACCTGCAAATGGGAAGGAAGGCAGGAATAAAACCCTAGACCACAAAGGACATGAAAAATATTGTTTGGCTGGAGCTGTTCAGTCAGGAAAGAGTAAAGTGTAAGTCACTGAAGATTTATTTCTGTGGGGCAGTGTAACAAACTGATTTCCATCAGCCTTACTGAAAGAATCATGAGCCAATACATGTGTTTAACTAAACCAGTACTAACCCAGCACTTTCCTCCTTAAATTGCAAGACATAAGAGGAGTAAGTGTAAGGCAAGCCTCAGGAATCACTGTAGCTTAGCATTACACTGTGCTTAATAATAAACATTAAAATTCAAGGTAATACAACAGGCAGAACACAGGAAGCACCTAAATGTGCCTAAGGATGACAGGTCCCAACTGACCTGTTGGGAGAGGATAGTTACAGCTTCTTTATGTTTGGCATCTCTTAGATTGACTCCGTTTACTGCCAGAATAGCATCACCAACATGCAATCCTCCACATCGGTCAGCAGGCTGCCCAGGATGGATTTCAGAGATCAGGATTGGGACACCATGCTCCTTCCCACCCTATTAGAAAAAGGAGACCTTATTTAACAGAGATGCCCTTGAACATAAAAATCAACATTCAGGGAGTTGCTCCTAAAGTGCTTACTTCAATTGCTATTTTAGAAAATCAGCAATCATTCTTCAGACAATCAGAATGCTTAAGGAGAAGCCATTAAATGCTTCCCTTAATTCTGCACACAAAAGAATGGGAAAATTTCAAAATATGTACTCAAAGAGTAAAAAAATCCTGAACAGTAAAGCTATACAAACTGATGAAAAGCTGAAAACCTCATAAAAAATGTCTGTCATGCACCATACTGACTTGCAAGAAACATTATTCATATTTAGAATAAAACTAACAACAAAAATGTCCAAAACTTGTTTCAAAAAGTTTACAGCTTTTGTTAGGTGTGAGATGCCAATACAGATACTTAAAAACCCCCTACAATCACAACAACAGCTAAGCTCTGGAAATCAGGTCTCACCCAGATTGTATCTGCTCTTCTACACAGTTACCACACAGGAAATTCAGCACTGCCTAATCTGCTAAAGTGTCTATACCCTAAACGTAAGTCACAGTCATAAATTTTAGAGAAAGTAGCAGTTGTCTATTTCCTAATCTATCAAAGTAAGTCTTTGTAAGTAAGTTCTATGACCATAGCTATGGATTTGTGTAGCTTTTTTCATATGTTCTAACAATACATTTACTGATCCCTATCTTTTACAGAAGTAGGAATAAAAACTTGAATTACTTCTTCTGGCATAGAAAATAAATGCAAGTATTTACTGTGATTGAAATTCCTAGTCCTTCATGGTCTTCTTTAACTAGCAAAACTTTTCTGATTGGACCAACACCTTGACTCTTCTTTAAGGCATCAGGATCCTAGTTGGATAAAAAACAAACACAGCACAAACATAAATGTGTGAACCAAAACCTGAAGCATTTCAGCATTTCGTGTGTTTTTAAACTATATACAGGGAGTGTATGAGCAACAGAGTCTTAGACTAGCTCCAGGCAGGACAAATTTACAGTGCCCCTTTACAGAAAGAGTAGGAAATCAGAAAAGAGTCCTCATTATGCATTCCTGATGAGAATAATTATTTCAATTATTTCAGTGCTGCGTGATGCACAACACAGAACTTAACTTCAAAAGAAGGAAATCACC